ACGCCTTTCCATTTCATATTACTTTATGCCAGAAATGGATGAAGTCGAAGGTGAGGATGGGAAGTGGCAGAATGAGAGATTGTTTCAAGAATGAGATTGTTCCCTGGCCAAATGAATTCTCTCTTTCCTTTGTGAAATTGGGAGCACAGTGACAGATCCCCCTACTTCCCAATTTGTGACTAGGGACATGTTGCTGTCCCAAAGCTGTGATGAAGGGCAGGTGTGAGAACTAGGTAGGAAGTAGAAGAATCCTATTAAGTTACATAATTTTCATTCTTCTCTCGTCCTCCTGATAGAATTTGCTAAGAAAAGACAACTCATCCCATACCAAGGGGGAAAAAAAGATGTGCGCATATATATATACACACATATATATATATATGTACTATTAAAGAAGAGCAATGGAGGCCTCTTCCTTTAGGAACAGATACTTTAAAGAAGTCAGGACAAAAGTGAAGAGAGGGAGGCAAATGAGCTCTGTGGAATGCCTTTTTTGAGCGCATATTTTCCACTGAGGAAGGTTGACAGCCCAGAAAGGAGAATTCTCTGCACTATTCCTTGTGGAGGAGGAAGCAGAGGCAGCAGAGGGTTAAACTCTCATTGCTTCCTGTTGAAACTATTTGGGTTTTCCTGCCCTGGGTCTTAGGTAGCAGAGGGTTAAACTCTCCTTGCTTGTTGAAACTCTTTGGGTTTTCCTGCCCTGGGTCTTAGGGAAGGCTGCCTAGAACCATGAGAAGTGTTTACCAGCTCATGACTCCCCACAGATGCTATACTACAAATCCCAATCATCTTCCACCAGCATTATCTATAGTCTCAGATCACTGTTTTGTAGACACAAACCACTACAGTGGTCTGCTGCCCATTGCTACGAAGTGACATAACAAAACCAGCCTATTTTTCCTTAACATGCTGGGTACAGAACCCATGCTTAGCACCACCAGCCTATGTTCAGTCTAAGCTAACTCAATCCTAAACAGTTTGTCTGTTCCTACAGTACAAAAGGCAGAGATCAGATTTTCCAGGATTGATCAATTCCTTGTTATTTGCTTTATTATTGAAAACCGAGCCTAAGGCTTTAACATGCTGGAAAGGATGTGTTCTTTGTGATTACAAAATAAATGTTGTATGCAGTATATTCATATATGTTATGAATGCTATGTATATTCATAACACTCATTTTAAAAGCCTTCCATTTTAGAGAAATTGGACTGTAAATTTTAAAAACTTCCTGTAAAAGGCCCGTAAATTCACAAGTATCTCTATTTTCATTCTCTGTAATTTAAACCTGGCAGGATAACCTGGCCACAGTGCTATTTAAAAGAGCAGACCTTGTTACCTCACTCGAGGATTTTTGGAGAAGCTTTTGAAACATTGCTCTTTTCAGGTATTAAAGATGAAGTTATTAAAGCCGCAGCGGGAACATGGCACTGTTTGCAAGTCTGAATGGATTTTTGCACTGCTTGGATGCTATTACAAGCAGCGGGGGTAAGTACGTATGTGAAATAGAACAAGGCAGATATTTTGAGAGATGTATATACTGATGGGGCAGTAACAAGATAATTAACTGGGCTGAATCCCACAAAGTGATGTCTAATACATTAGCCCATCAAAGCACCTGGCACATGCTTCTAACCTCAAGGGCTTAAGCAATTCCTCTGAAGCTAATGGAAGTGCTTTGCTGGATCACAGCCCAGCTGCTCAACATCTTCTGTGATTACATCCCAACAAACCATCTATGAATTCTTTCCCTGGGCATGAAGACCACAACAGCAGCAGAACTGCATGGTTGGGAGATGCAGGAAGACCAGAGAACTCGAGACTCACTGGGTGACCATCCTGTCTTCCAACAAAATCCACATAAAATCACTACAGGCTACTGCAAAACTGTGTACAGGAGCAAAGGAGCACTTAGACCTTCCTGAAGACACCAAATGAAGCCATTAATATGTATTTTGAATAGGTGCGCAAGCAACTGGCCTCCTAAAAACACAAGCAAATAGGAGTAAACAAGCAAGCATCACTGCTTAGGGGTAGATCCATAAACAACTCGTTTCAAAAATACACAGTAAATTCAGCTTTTGAAGGGAAAAAAAAAAGAGAAAAAAAAGAGAGAGATCAGTCCACTGTCCAAAATTAAAAACCATCTTCAGTGAAGTGTGAGGGAAAAACAATATTTAGAGCTGAACCCGGCTCATATCTACTTCATTGGCTTTCGTCATGTCAGATCAGGAATGGAGCTAGCTACCGTGTTTACAGGCAAAGAGAACATATTAAAAATCTGGCTTAACTGAGCTGCATCAGCAGCAAATGACAATGGTAGAGTTATTTTCGACAGAAATTATACTGCCAGAAGAAAACACAGGCTGGTAAATAGGCATTTGTTTCATAAAAGAGAAAACTGTACTGCTGGAAAATATCTTTAAGGAGAAAGAAGAGAGGAGGGAAACTCATCAATACTAAAAGAACCTAATACAAAAGAAAGCAGCTAATCTCAAAGTAAATAGAAGAATCCGCCTGAAATTTACTGTATGTGAGATTTCTACTTCAAAACTTATCTGGTAGAATAAGTCTTTTCTTTCAAGTTTTCTTCACATCAATAGTATTGCACTAGGATTTAAATATATATAAATACACACACGGATATTTAAATAAAATAGCTAGGTACTTTAAGCAGTAAGTCAAAGAAAGTGGCATTAGCTTCATTAATAAATGTTCTCCATTTCCCTAAACTCTATATTTTACATAGAGCACATATAATCTCTGTAAAGGGAGCTGATAACATACCCCTGCAGTCTGATTTTTCCTGCTTTATCCACAGAAGAATCATGCCATTTAGTAAGGTAAAAATAAGATTTCTGATGTCATTACCATCTTTGAATTATAGTGAAAGGTTCAAAGCAGTGTCATGATGTATTAAAAAAAGAGGTAAGTCTAAACAGGAAAATTTATATGTCATACAGCGTGTAAGAAATACATATAAAACCAGGCTTTTCAAAGACAGCTATATAATACTGTTGGTTTGCACTTTTGTTGTAATTCTGTACTGAAATGACTGTCTTTGGGGGAGTACAGAGTACTTTTCACTAGCAATGACTGAAAAGAATTTGTAAGAGGTTTTGAATTTCTCCAGAAATAGACAATATCTAACAGTGAATTTAGGATTTAAGCAGACACCCATTTTTTTAACAAGCAAGTCCAAATTACTACAGAAAATCGTTAAGGCAAACAGGATGCACAATGAAAATAGTAAAAGGCAAAAGCCTGGAAATTCATATATGCAGTACTCTGAATGGCATGAATTGCCATTAATGATGATGAATACCATTACTTTTTGCTTCTAAACAAATTGACTTGTCCTTATGTATTGTTAATTATGTTTCATAACTTTAAAATAATACATTTTATACATACTTCAACTTTGGTTCTCAGGATATAGCTCGCAGGGCATTAAGGGCCTGACCTAAAGGACAATCCTTAGGGAATTAAAAGCTTCATCCAACCCACTTAGTGCCTATTTACTTGAAAGTCTTGGATCACTTTCTTCATGTTGCTTTTCAGGGGTCTGAAAAGCTCTTGCCAAAGAATTTTGCTAAAAGTAATTACAGTTATTGCATCTGATTAACAAAAACTCTTATTCCTGTTGGCAAAGTTGCCATTGTTTCTTATTTCTTATTCTTGCTGCTTTTTTCTTTTAATTCCTCTTTCATTCTTTTTTTAATCTGGTTATCCAATTTGCATTTATAAAAGGTGTAATTATTCAAGTAAAATTGCAGTAATTTGTTTCAAAATAATCTGTTGTCAAATGGCTAAAATTAGGCCAGGAAAATGCATTAAAAAAATAAGAAAAAGCATACCCAAAGGAGAAAAACAAGACTTTTTTAACAATAGGCTTTCACTTGCTTCTTCTAAAAAATTATCTTAAAATCACTATCCCCAGTGTTTTCTACCATCTTTTGGGAATATTCCTTAAAACTCAACAACTTCAGGAAACTTTTATGGCAAAATCCAAACGCAGCTGTTATTAGGTAAAACTCTTAGGCTTAATTCTCTCCAGGTGCCAGGGGGGAAACAAAAAAACAGATTAATAACAAATGGAAGGGAGGGAAAGGAGCAGTGTGGGAAGAGTTAGAAACCTGGAAGATGCTTTGCCTGAAACCAGGAACTTTGCTGCAGCAGTACTACATTCTCCTGAGGGCAGTGAACATCTTGTGCCTGAGTTTCTTTTTTTTTTTTTTTCTTTTTTCCTAGGCTTTTCAGAATTGTTCAATGAAATTCAACTTACAGCACAAAAACTGGGCTTGCAAACTTCACCCATAGTGAAATTTAAAGCTTTTTGGGCTACAGTTTTCATTACAGAACTGTCAACACTAGCTGTCTCACAGGTGATGTACTGAAGACATGACAAAATATGTTGCTTTCATCCATGTTGCCTATCATCAAAAGCCCTCGGTTAGAATACAGACAAGAGGAAAACTATTTCCCCTGCAGGAGCCAAGGGAGAAAGTTCCCACTAGCAAGCATAATTTACAGATTTTCACCCTGCTGGCCAACCTCGCAATATTATCCCCTTGGCATGAATTTCTACGTTGCAGTCACACTCTGTTGTGGAAATGGTATAGATGAATGTAAAAGAAGAAAGGTGCAGCTCAGAGAAAGCCTGTCTCATTGAGCTAAAAAGATATATGGGATGGGGACACAAAAATCAAGGTAAAGAACATTATGGAGTTCTTGGGGTTGGTCTGAAGAACAAGAACTAGAACAGCAGGATATTTGACAAATTAGCGTCTCAGAGATGGAGATGCACTAGTGTCTGGTACAGTCCTACACTACATTTTTGATCACAGATTTTCAAATTAATTCATCTTTTGCTAGAAAAAGCAATTCTCTTATCAGTGCTGTCTCTAGATACCCTTGTCTTCTATTAAGTGACTTTTTATTTTTAGAAACAAGTCAAGTACAACTCCATGCAATGTTTTATAGAACACATGGCAAATTCTTACCTCCCTCTTGGTAAATTCAGGTGGATGATCATTTTTGTCATCAATAAGAATAGTAGCAGTTGCTGTGCCAGTTAATCCCACATCAAGACCACCCATGTCCTTAGCTTCTACAACCAGCTCATATTTGGGGGTTTCCATAGTCTGAAAAGAAGGACAGAAAAAGAAAGGTTAAAAAAATTCAATCAGTTACTTTTTCTTTTTTTTTTTACTTTACACTGAAATAATAATAATAAAGAACAAGTCTAAAACTTAATTAGGTCTGATAAAATGTAAGATTCACAGAATCACCCTTAGTGCCTCACCAAAGGATAAGCAGAGCTTTCCTCTGAGCTTCATGGGCTGGGATCAAACCTGAGCTGGCACACAGCACGAAGGAAGGAGTAATAGGTGAATACGAAGCTCAGCTTTCCTCTGAGCTTCATGGGCTGTGACCCACGAAGGAAGGAGTAATAGGTGAATACTGGTAAACAGCCTATAATCAATCCTGTTATTTAAACAGATTAGGAAAGAGGAGAGAAAGTAAAATATACCCACTCTTTAAGGATAAGCTTTCACTTCAGTGCACCAATATTTAGCAGCATGCCTCATCAGTGTTATGATGGGTACATAATTAAATACTAATGTCACAATCTACATATAAATTCACTTTATTTTGTTAAATCTCATGCATTCTGCCTATTAGCATTTAGAATGGTAATCTAAGTTTGCTTCACTGTAAGAAACAAGAAAGCAGCTTCTAAAAATGGGCAGCAGCTGACACAGCCGTTCTGCAAAGCGAGTGTGCTCTATGCATTAATGCAACATTAATGCTTTACATCTATACATCCAATTTCAGTGTCACGAGCGTTGTTACTTCTCTGGCTACGGTAGGGCTAGACAGCACCACCTGCATGGGTCTGTAGCTTAAGCCATTCTCAGTTTTGCTCCCTCTAATGACAACAACTTCAGAGAAAATAAACTAGGGCCGCAGTCAGAATTACAGCATCAGTAATGCACTTCTCTCGCACCACACATGGACACACATCTGGTGGCCTTCTGGACAACGGGGCATTAACACAGCCCATCAAAGGGAATTATTAGCAGGGTGAGAACCAGCCCCTGTGCAACACGTGGAGAATTCTGACATGGATTTGGGGAGACAAGACCGGGCACCTAATTAAAATGAATCTTTTCCCTATTTGTATGACTGCCTCATATGGAACCATCTGCCTGAGGACCATATGTGCTGCAGTGTCGATGGGGGACACAGATGGGAAAGTGCAGCGGTCACCTTTAAAGCTATACGGTAAGAATATATTGATGTGCTTCGGAATGGGTTTTCAAAACTGTGTGAGACTGTGCCTGGATCTGAGGGGCAAACCTACATGCTGGTGTCTGAAGGTGGCTAAGGCCCTGTGGGGAGAAAGGACTGGCCAAGCACCACTTCCAGGGAGCTTTTTTAACCTCAAACCAGCTCTGTCAACCACTGGAACATGCAAGAACCAAGTCTGCAAGCTCCAAGATCACTCTGCCCATGTCCTTCATCTAACATTTTCCCCAAGAATTAAAATGCAGGGAGCGAACTCGTGTGAAACTCCACATAACAACTCAGTGGCCTCCATCTGCCACCCATAAACTGCCTTGTAAAGCAGAACCAAGGAGGCTGGGATAGGGTTTGTCCCATAGCAATAAACCTCAATAAATTTCATGCCAGTTAAAATTTTTGATAGACTTCTTTTTCACCTCCAGCTTAGCAAAGCAAACTCATGGTCTGCTCAGTAGCTAATTGTTTTGAAAGCTTTCACCAATGGTACATGGAGCATCTCCCTGGGGACATCACAGCACCATCCCTGGAGCAGGTCTATGGAGGTCCCCATCCTTTGCTGATCTAGATCTCGCAGCAAAGTAACCAGACCAGTTACTGACCAAATCACCTAACACAAAGCAAAACGACTGCATGTAAAACTGACAGTTCAAACCAGAAGATATATTCAGTTTTAATAATATATGGGCTTTTAGAAAATCAGATGCCACTTAGGGATTCCTAAGAAATCCTTATTCTTTTATTATTTCATGAAACTATCTTGAGAAGGCAGAAAACCCATAGCAGGATCTTGAGTTATGTCATAAATATATGGAAGGAAATATTGCTGACATATCTCTAACACAAAGTTAGATTTAGAAGCTGAAAAAAAAACGTTTTCATATTTTTCATTTTTAAAATGTTTTTACTGTATTAAAATATGTATAGGGCCTCTCTCCCTTCCCATAAATGTATTTCTTTCATAACTTTAATTAAGAAGTTGTTATTGTTGTATAGAAAATTTGTAAAGCCATTTATCACTTTGTGTTTGTAAAACTCTTTGCTGAAAAAAGCCCCAATTTAACTCATAAATTGGCCTACTTTTTTTCTCTGAAAACTGTCCCATTTTCTGTTGAAAGCAAGCCCATTTATCCTAGAAATTGTGTCTACTGCAGCAGAAATTTCTGTGACAGGAGCCCAATGTTTAAGTTTGCAACGGAATGTGAAAAAAACACTGAATTTTGAGTAGTATTTCATAGCATTATGAATACTTCACACTTTCCTGCTAGGCAACACTTTCTACATCTAGTTCTGTCACCAAATATTTGCTTTGCTAGAGAAAGCAACTCCTAACACCTCCACACCCCAGCAAAGAGCCACCTTCTCATCAGCTGCTCTCTTTACACTAAGAGGTTGCATGAAAGGCAAATTCTAGTGTTTCTTACAATTCTAGTCCTGCTAAATTAGCAGGACTAGAGCTTTTGCATTGGAAGGTCCACCCAGCAGCACTTACCCTGGCGTTAACATCTGTATCAGCTCTCACAACAGAGGGAAATAACCAGCTCAGCACCACCACACACGGTTAGACTAAACCCAGCAATAACCTTTGGGAAGTGCAGGATGGAAGCAGCTCATAGCAGTTTTCTCACATGTTTTGTTAATATACTCACGTTTTTCCTAAAGATACAACAAAATCTATCAGTGTAGCTCCACTTGTTTATTTAGGTGGCAAGGAAGTGCAGCAATTCTGAGACCTGATGTTTTCACCAAGACCTAGCTTCATTCTGCCTATCTTTAGTCATTCAAATGAAGTGTCTGCTTTTTGGACCACCATGGCCAAATGTGGCCCATAGGTTCAAGGGAGAGAAGCCATTTCCATACTTATCTCCATTGATGAATTATGGAGTACAAGGTCCTCCAGTGTAAATGCTGCAGAGGATGACTGAGGTTGATTAAAGGACTTAATGATCTGATAACAATGAGAAAAAGTAGCACCAAAATGAGAAGCAGAAATCAACCCCAGGACTGTATTAAAGAAGTTTATCCAAGCAGCAAATGATTAGCTGTTTATCTAGACTCAATGGCCACCGTGACTCTATATTTGGGTGTGGGAGGAGGTATGAAAAAAGTGTAGTTTGCCATTGAGCATCCTCAAGAACAGACACATTGAATTTTTCAATCTCCTGAAGTCAGGCACCTAAATCAGGCAGAGCTGATTGTGAATCAGCGCATTCATTCACAGCTCTGCATTCTCCAGAATGGAGCTGTAGATTCTTGGCATGTCTGAAAATCAAGCGTCTGATATAGGTGCCTGATATAGAAGGAAATGCTAAACTTTTGAATTTCAAAGACTTTGATCAGATGTTTTATTTGAATATAAAGCTGGATAAGGAATGCAGATTCACAAGAAAGAAGAGAATGAGAAACCTTCCGTAACCCAGACACTGACACCCGAACTGCTTGGGACTAAAGTGCACTAATGCCAGGCAGTTGGCATATGGGTTGCACCTACAGGAAAGACACTCCATTCTGGCTGAAAACTGAAGTCCTGCTCACTGTTAGAGCAGTTTGGATATAAGGTACACCGGGAAGCCTATTACTGAAATGAAGCTTTCTGTTTTTCCAATACAACTACCTTGTTATTCTCAGGAAATGAAAATAATATATTTTCTGGAAAGACCCACTCAGGCACTTGAAAATCCATTTGTGGAGCAGACTCTAACTAAAAAGAATTTAGATCAAGGCTTAATCTTCTTTGCAACATGTGGAGATGGACTGGCTTCGGAATTTTAGGCTACTTTAGGCTTTCATTCCCTCTGCAATTCAAAGATGTCTAAACAGGAGTTCACCATATTATCTCGTAGACCTTTGCAATATTGTTTTTACCACCCGTGTTTAAATTGTAGGTAGAGACATTGAAAAGGAATTGTTTTAGCCATCATGCCATTTTTTCCCTTTTCTCTTGATTCACATCATCAGTCTGCAGCTGATGCAGATGTTTTGATGTTTTGCACATCAAAACTGCAGTTTTGTAGTTTCTTTTAGTGGCTCTTAGGATCCCTGGATGCAGCAGTGGATTGCAGGCTCCCATCAGGACCAAGCTGAAGTCTGCAAATACTGACACTGAAGCCTCCAAATAGAGGCCCTGGAGCCTGCAAAGCACCAGGACTTCAGATGCCTCCTCTTCAGCATCTCCTCCCTGGCAGACCTTAGCTAGGTCTTCATCCAAAGCTCTCTGTTCATGGTAAGGGGTCTAGGAATCGCATTTCCAGAGCAAAGTTGCTTAGTAAGTAGTTGATTAGTTGCTAGTACTTAGAGAAATTGCTAAATTTGCACAAAGTAGTCGCAGTTTCTGAGATCAAAACAAACACTGGCTGGGAAGCAAACACTGTACAGATGGTTCAAAACTCTTGCAAGGGCTTTAAGTACCCTTTCAGGCTATGTTAATATTATGCCAATAGAGAATTGTGTATCATTTTGTGGCTATTTACTAGTAATTTCTATAACAATGCACTGATATATTTATTCATAATTCTATTTATAAACTACGTATTCACACATATTAATATATTAATAGTGTGCGACTGCATCATGTTTGCTACTAATGCCTGTATAATATAACATTAACCAGAAAGAAAAGTTCTTAGGATTTAAATAATTTCAGTTCATGCTAAATAAATGCTTGCATTCATTTAAGATGATAACTGCATGTAGTGTGCGCTGAATACATCTTATTAAGACGTAATCAATCTTCTTGTTGGGTAACAATATCAGCATTCAATCTTACACTGCTCCAGACTATGTTGTCAGGATTTTGACAAATGCAGAATAAAAAAATGAAGCAACGTGACTATTAACA